CATTGTTTTGCAGCCCACACTTCTCCCACAGCAACCATATTACAGCCCTCTTTCCCCACGCAGTCATATAAATAGTACCCTCTTCCCACACAGTAGCCATATGCACAGCATCCCCCCATCTGGCTTTTGTGGGCTATATTGGTCATATACTATACTACTACCCCATATCATGGCTGAGCATAGCAGCAATCATTAATAGCAAGGATCCCCCATGCCGACTAGCTTGCCATATGGGTGGCTGCCCTGGAGTGGAACCCAGCTTCCCTTTAGCTCTGTGTCATGTCACAAGATGTCAACCATAAGTTATACACAGAGGGATGGCTAACAGAGATTCACTTTAAGTTTAAAAATAAAAGTTCCTTTAACGAAAATGAATGTATCTTTTCATGGTATTGCTTTACGTAAGGGGGTGATTTACGTAAGGGGGTGATTTATAAAATGTTCACATAGTGAAAAATATGGAAAAGAGAGATTCACAACACATTATGGCCACTAGAGGAAATTACTATGTTTCTCAGCTCCACCTAGTGGCCATATTGCACTGCAAATCTCATTCGCAAAGCTGTTCACTATGCAAACAGTTTATAAATCACCCTCTACGTGTCCATTGCAGTGGCTGTAAGGAACATTAGTAATGATTCCACAGGATATGTAGAGGAGGAACATATAAACAGATTAGGAACATTGTCAGTTTTTTTTTATTTTAGCAATGGTGATCTGAATCTTGAAATGGTGAATGTGACATCATGGTAATTCCAGGTATTCTGTATTACTTTGAAGAAATTTAGTGATTGGCATGAATAGTCTTACCTGTTCGGTAGATGAAGTTGCCTTCAGTTTCCGATGACGAAGGGGACACAAGCTCTTCCTCAAACTCATTGGAACTAAATGACCCTGAGTGGTTTCTCTGCCTCGTCTTTTCCCTCATGGCGGCGTTAGTGGCCATGACGTGTCGTAAGGAGTCATTGAGATAGCGATGCAATAAACTGCTCTTGTATTTTGGAGGGGATACATAGTCTTCATTGGTACTAGCTTCTGCTCTTATACCTGACTTGATGACTGAGCTCTCGTTGTTAATCACAGTATGGTGGATGGGTTTGTTGTAGCTTTCCTCATTAGCGTGACTCCTTGGTGCATTTTCTCCATCTGTAGAACAACAAAACCAAATATTACTGTGTCCATCTATACTAATTGCTTAGTTTTCACTGAAATATAGGAAATGGAGCATAAACTCAGCACTTGCTAATTTATGCAAATGTTCACCCAATGAAATAATGAAGATATGAGAAAAGGCTCTTCTCATAACTTTATCCCGTCTGTTACTAGGAATGGATAGAAATCCCCACTGGGAACTTAAAAAGCAGTAAAATGCTCTCAGGGAATTAAAGTTCTACCCAAGAGCTAGAACCAATCACAGATTCCTAATCTGAGGTAAGGCTTGTTCTTTTATTACAGACTCAGTTGAGACACAAATTACTAAGTGAGTTACATAATATTAGATGTCTATTTATTACTTCTTTGAAATTTCAGCTTCAGAGGTCAGCTTACTGAAATTTAAAACACTGGCACCTCCAGTTCCAACTGTTTTATTCATTACTACTGTTGAATTTGGGAATGCCTTCTTTTGGCTCAGATCACAGAGTCTGCAATGGCTAGTTCAGACCCCCTGAATATACATAAAAAGACAGTGTACAGTGTTGCAATGGTGACAAAGGAGGAACATTTTGTTTCATACACATTAAAATGGTATTCCGTTAAAACAAACCACTATGGACCTTATTCAATAGCAGTCATAAGTCAGAATTTACCATTATCTTGGTTAACCAGAAGGTGAACTGTGATTAGTTGCTGTGGGTTAATATACTTACTAATTATTCATTAAAAATGTAAAAATTGTCCAGAGTAACAACTGTGCTGGGCCTACCAGCCTGTGCATTATTCTTCAAACTTAACCCTGTGTTCCTCTGGGGACACTTGTATTCTAGGCCAAGGTTTCTTTCCAAGCTGAGATTAAATCCCATACCCTCAATTCCAAACCTTACCTCCTTTCCTCAACTGTCTAATGCCAGAGTCGTTATTGTCCTTTGGCGTTCTTGCATTTGACTGTTAATGACATAGGTTTAAGCTTGAGGGGTGAAGCTTAATCTTTATTTGGAGAGAAATCAAGGTCTTATGCACAGCCTGTGCTTAGGATCCAAGGGGCTCCACGGAGACACAGAGATTGATTTGAAGTCAGGTACTTGCAGCAACCACAATGTGCCTGCACTTCAAATATATTGTTACTTCAGGAATTTGTTTTCGGCCACGACAGGTGCTCTTTAAATACTGCTCACAGTAGGTGTGGTGGAATCTTCTTTAATATCCGATGTGGTTTATTTTCTTTTTCTCCCTCCTAACGCTCTTCCTCAATGAACACAAGAGCTCAGAGGCACAGAAGAACAAATCCCACCAGTTTATTTTTGTAAACTGAGTGTAAAGGGGAAGAGTGGGGTCACACGTTTAGGAGGAACTGGATTGTTGGAATAGGCACCATAAATAAACGTATGCATTTCAAACATGGTAAGATCGTGCCCTCTTACCCACTATAGTGTATTCTTGTGTTACAACCTTCACTAACACTCTTCATTTCTCTACCAATAAACATTCCCCACTGGCTCAGTCCAGCAGTTTTTCCTCTACTGATATGTAACCTATTCTTTACAGGAATAATTCTCCTTTTCTTAGAAAGTCTGGCCAGCATCCAGTATAAACAGATACATCGTGTATGGCCCACAACTGTGTACACGGCATGGGAGGAATTAGATACCGAGGCTTGTTTCTTTTGTATCACTCCGGGATCCTCACATTTATACTAATTCTGTTCTGCTTCAGTGCAACAAAATACAAAATGAAATGACCACTATTGTCAAAGATGTATTCTAAAACCTGTATGTAGGTAATGCATGTAATGATAGTATTGAGTATATTCAACCCTTTTCAATGCACATGCCTCTAATGATATTTTTCACAACATTTACATGCTGGGAAAGTCAGCCAGCAATTATAACAATGACTCATTTTGGCGCAAACTATAACCCTGCCAGGGGCGCTTACAAGAAGGTGGATCCAAACCACCCCTATGTTTGTTTTTTGAGGTGTTTCTCAATGCACCCCCACAGAAGGGTCAACCTTCATGGTTTAAACTGATTTGCTATTTAAAGAAAATGAAATGAGCAGCAAAAAAGCTATAAATATGTAGTTGTCCGTGTTGACAAACTCTGCTTGTTGAAAATCAAAGCCTGCTAAAAGGTATTTAGAATCCTGAATACTTTCGGGTGTGTTGGATGCCTGGTCCCATGTTCTGCTCTGTGAGTCTTTCGATTGGAGGGAACCACAGAGCGTATTAAGAGACGCTGGCATCTCTTAGTCTGGTAGCTAAGTCTTTTTTTCCCCCAATGCTTGGATCTTCAGAGAACTGGAGTTTTGGGTTGTAGGTCTAATCTTTGTTTTTTTTATTATTGAGACAGAGTCACTTTAAAGTGTATTTCCACTTTCACAGCCAAATTTGGATAACACCTATTTTATGTTTGTTACCCGTTCCCATTCACATCGCATAAGCTAAAAAAAATACTTCTTACAATTTAAATGGCTTTTACTTGGGTTAGGGTTTCTTGGCTTCTAAAATGTTAACAATTCTACTTGTTTCTCCTTCCTTGTAATGTTGGGATTTGTCTTAGCCTCTTCTGTACTGGGCTGGCTCATTTCATTATAATTTGTAAAGTAGATTTGAACATTGCCTAGCAAAGGGTTAACAGATTGATAGCCTGGCTTCTGTATGTTAATGGAGTTAATGAGAGAAACACAATGTTATAGCTTGTCCCAACCTCTGTCACTTTTACTGGACAGCTTGGCCCGCATGCAAATTTAAGGATAAATTATAAGGAACCTTTTTTCAGACGGCATTCCCTTTGGGTATCCAAATAGTAAACTGATCATCACCAAAGGAAGTCTGTGCTGAAAAATTGCAGAGGTGTCATTGCTGACCTTCCCTTCCAAAAATACTGTTTTCCCAGCTGTTATAATGATCCAATACTCTTTCTATGTCAATGAAATGGAACAAGTGTAGAGATCAGAAGTTATGACTTCACACGCTTAACATGAAATGTAATCCTGACATGAAAGGGATAATGCTATTGAATTTACTATTTGGACTTTACCTATCTATGGGTGTCAAGAAAACATGGTTGTGCACACACACAACATGACTTGTGCTCACAAAAAAATTATGTAGTGCACTTACAATTTACTGCTGGTTGGTGACTTATGGCTTTAGATGATGTTCTCACTGGCCATTCAACTGCCACCTCTTAGAAGGGACAGTGGTGTTGCTGGTATGCAGGAAAGCAAGTCCAATCTCAAATAGAAAGCATGGGCGCTATTATACTGCATGTTTTTTTCTGGTTCTTGAATGTCATTTCAATAATGCCTCTGACATCATACAGGCATGTAAATCTTGGGAGTGTATCTTCACTAGGAAGGACCTCCCTTTCCACTCTACAAGTGACCTCATCACCAATATACTGCATGAATAATGTCCCCAAGACACAACATGAAGACAGAGGTGAGTGAACAAACCTTCGGAACAGGACTCTTCACTGCTGATACTTAACCGCTCAGCATTCCCTTGTACATATTTGTTATATAACTTTATCCGCAATGCCCAGCTCAGATCTGGTTGTCTCACAGTGTTTTTGAGGCGACGTCTTGCGTTTGCAAACCAGTTTGACACCTGAAAAATAAGAGATTGGTTTAGCTTATTAATTTGCTTATAGTTTATCAGCAACTACTGTAATAAGTGGTCCATCTCAAGCATACCCTGATTGGAACTAGAAGAAATACAACAATCTTAGCTACCAACTGGAGTTTTCTCCAAGGCATTTTATCCTAGCTACTAATATCTGCCCTGTTATAATAATCACAACAACAACATAATAATAATAATAATAATAACAACAATAATAATAATAATGTTGTACCGGTATTTATACTTATTAAAATTGAGGATAATAACTTTGAAATACAGGAAAGACAAACATACTCTATTCATAAGAGATGAAGAGGAGAATTAATGTACAATTATTATATAATAAATTGGATTTCAGCACCAAGAATTGAGTGCTTATAGTTTTAAGTTTTGGACATGTGGCACCAAAAACAAGTAAAATGTCAAGTGTTTGCTCATATGTCCCGGACCCTTAAACTTGAACTGAACCTATGCATGGTCCATGGGAGGCCAAGCAACGGTTTTATTGAAGCAGAACTAAAGTCCACCGTACTTACCTTTCCTCCTGAAATGTGATGTCTGGGAGCTCCCCTGCCGCCAATGGCATGTTCATCCAGTCCTCTCTTCAGCCTGCCAACTCTTTTTCTCAGTGACGTGAGCGTTTCACTTTAACCTCCTCCCTTTCCAGGAGCTCGCGACGCTCGGCGAGGTAAGTAAGATGACGCGCTGGCGCTGACTCGAGTATAAGCCGAGGGGGGCACTTTTCACCCAAAAAAATGGGCTGAAAATCTCGGCTTATACTCGAGTATATAAGGTACTCAAAGTTCCGTTGCTCTCCAAATGGTCTTTTCAGCTGCTTGGAGGAAAAAGAAGTAACTGCTACTTCTGAGTATGGAGGAACATGTGATCCATACTCCTTTTCTTAATGATATCTCCTTTGCACACCATAAAGATGTAACTTACAGTTAATTGGGTGCTGGAACAAACAGTGGATGGTGCCACAGTAAACAGAATGGAAACTATGTTGTCAGCACATTATTAAGCTTCACAATATCGTCTTTATTGGTATTCCTTTAGCATGACATGTGAAATGCATTTCACATGTCATGCTGAGGGAATACCAATAAAAATGATATTGTGAAGCTTAATGGTGTACAGACAGCATATCTTCCATTCACTCCCCTTATTATGTGACAGCGATGATGCTTGGTGATTGGCCAAGCATTGTCACAAGGGAAAGATTCCCTAACTAAGTTAGTAGAAACCTGAAGCTAACAGAAGAAAATGCAGTCCTTGCAAAGAATGCTATCCACTCACCCCATGCACATACTGCATAGAGGTTCATAACAGTAGCATCAGACATATTAGGTCTAGGTGATGTCCACTTAGCCGGTCCCCATATAAGTTAATGTGTTACAAGAATATGTAGCAGTTCCTTTAAATTGGTTCCAGTCACAGAAAGTGCTAAATATTACCAAGAGCAGGAAAACCCCTAAAAGCCTCAGCATTGTCCAAGCTTGAAAGCTGATTCGATCTATTCCCACTTCCGCTACATCTGTATCTAGTCTGGCTGTTCTACAGCATACTGCTTAAATTAGGCTTGGCTTTACAGAGCCAATAAATTGTGTCTTAAAACTTTCACTTAATAGCGACCATCTAGACTCTAAGTCACAAAAGACTTGTCAGGTAATAGAGTTGCTTTTTTGCAAATTAAATAGATAATGAATAGCATGCACCTAGCTGCTATCAATTTCTTACAGACATTACTAATACAGAGGCCCACACGGACTATCTTATATAGGCCTAACACTAAAGTGTTAAATAGACCCTGTCACCAGACCACTCATTCAACCTGTATTTACCTGTAAAAACCTCCCATGTGAAGACTTCTAAAAACCCTAAGACTGCTGCAGGGCACCACCATCTTACATGTGACGTCAGCAGTCCCAGCAGACACAATATTGTCACTCAAGTCGAACTCTGTAGTATTCTCTCAAGATACAAGACTATGAGTTGACTTATAGGGGTATATGCATGCATAGATTGAGCAGTCTTCATTATTGGACTGAATTTCATTGTGTCCACTGACTACTCTGCATTCACAAAACACAGCAGGAATTTTGAGTCTCGGGCAGGCTTTCGCTTTTGCAACAGATTCTATTCTTCCAAAGAATGCATCCAATATAATAAAAAGGCAAATTAGTCAAATTATAAAAATATTGTTCACACGGCAATGTGTTACTGAAGACAATGTTCTCTTTTCATGTTATATATAAAGGGTGCCGTCTGTCGTACATTATATTGATTCCATTGACAAGATAAACTAGGAGCATAAATAACAAGGTCTAGGAGACCTCGGGTTGCCCATTTCCGCTTTGAAGTCAGAAAGGATGCTTAAGAGGAGCCAAATACTGACATCTAGCATTGCTTTCACAAATGTTTACAGTGCTGCTACATGCTTGTAGATTAACACGGCTGAATGTTCCATGTGCCGCCAAGATTGAGCTGATACCTCGGAGTAATCCACATCAGAGCCACATCTGTAGTAATGGCAGGTAAGTGTGGCACGTATAGTGTAAACTAGTCCTAAAGGGAAAGTGGAGCAAAGCCAAGACTTCACTGCCACCTACTCCCTGCTCCACCTTTTACGGTCATGTGAAATAGCTTAACTTTGAAATGGAACAAGAAAGAATGTTCTGGTAATGGAGGAGAATAAACAGAAAATTTATTTCGTATAAACATTGTTTATTGTGCTGTTATACAATACAGAACCAAGCCAGATTACTTGACGCGGGAACCAAAAAACTGCAGAAGTGCTACCCACAAGGACCAATCAGAAAACTTTGGTCTTTACCTACTAAGAGACCAATGGTGTGATGTCTTAAAAGTAGCCAGAAAGAGTTTTAGGTCAGGTCATGCCAGTGATCTACCAACAATGGCATCTTACTCTATCTACACCAATCATCCATCTAGCCATGCATCCATCTCTAACCATCTATCTAAATGCTCAGAATCATTTTTTTATGTATCTATTCACAGTCATTTATTTCATTTTTAATATGTATTTTTACATTTAGTGACGGATAACTAAATACCCCAGATATGCTAAATAAATTGTGCTTTAATCTTCTCCATGTAAAATTTTGAAATATATTGTTATGTCATAAACTCCATTATCAATCTTGTAAAACACACAAATCTTATATTTGCTTTAACACAAATCCAGTTTAAACCCAGAGAAAACTCTCTAAGCTAGAACATGAAAGCTATGGTATATGTCAGGGCTTCCTAGATTTTTTCAAGTCGCCATACCAAATCACTACACCAACAATTACACTGCATACTCTGGATGACATTTGCGTTTACTGTGTACGTGTCAAACACGCATGTAAGAAAGTCATTTGTAGTTTTATTGATCACAACCTGTGAAAATGTCATGCTAATATTTGTCCACACAAACTCAACCTGATCTTATTTAATACTAGCAAATATGTGTCTGTTAATTAGGGATCAGGATTAGGGTCAGGGGTCTTGGTGCAAGAGCCCACACCTAAAGATAGTCTATTACATCTCTCGCATTTTGTGATTGGACAAGGGAAGATTGTGATAATCATCTGCCCCTTATCCAATCACAGAACACCTTGTAGTCTTTGAAAGAATAAAAAAAAGCTTCCCCTAGGCTATATCTGCAAACCTGAAACTGCTCTGGGACAGGAGCATATAACACACAGAATACATGGGTCAGGAATGCATAAGGCACAGAGTGCAGGGTTCAGTAGCACATAAGGCACAGAGTGCAGGGTTCAATAGCACATAAGGCACAGAGTGCAGGGTTCAGTAGCGCATAAGGCACAGAGTGCAAGGGTCAGGAGCGCTTACGGCGCAGGGGTCAGGAGCGCTTACGGCGCAGAGGTCAGGAGCACATAAATCACAAAGTGCAGAGTTCCGTAGTGCACAGGAGTGTTTCATGTAGTAGATTTTGTTCGGAAATGTTTACAAGGCAGGATTAGCAAAGTGAACTGTACATGAAAATCTTTACTAATGTTTACAATGAATGTTCTATATTACTATGTTACCTATAAGGGAGTAAATGACTCCCAAAATCTGCCAAATATGACAAAATATTTCACTCTCAAACTGGCTTTATCTGCCCCAGACCACTAAAACCTTCCCTTCACGCATTATTTTCAACAAACTGCCCAAAGTTTCTGCAAGCCTCTCACTTTTTTGGCTTGTAAGAATTTAGTCATCTGTAAAGAACAGAAGAGTCTTAAGACTAACAGGTACACAAGCAGAATCAAGTGTAAAATAAAAGGAAAGTAGGAATATATAGTAATAGTACTAAATAGTAATATAGTAATATGCTAAGTGGTAAATAAATAATATAATAATGAAATAGTATTAGGTAATAAAATGTGTTTCCACTGTTAGTGCATTAGACGACTTTTTTGTTCTTCATCATCCTCTAGAAACATCTTAAAATATCCATCCAGCACTCCTGTCATTTTCTCTCCACAGTCCTACTACTTGTTTGGATTACTTAGAATTGACAAGTCCCTTAAGAGATATCAGCGGAGAGGGATGCCTTGGAAGACCTCCATGTTTTAATGCACCACGGAGAGAGGCTTCCCTCCAAATGCTTCAGCTGATATATTGCTCATGTGATGTCTGTAGGATTTACTGTGACACGCACAACAACATGGCAAGATTAGCTGAATGCCGGTCTGCATATTCCAGCCGTGCCAAAAGCGTTCTAAAGTCTCTTAAGAAATAACTGGAATGAAAACAAAAAAGTTTATGCATGTGAGCAGATTAGGTATTCCCATCCGGATACCAACGGCTGCTGTGCCCCAGCTCAGGATTGGATTGTGGCCGATAAAATCGTTTCCAGTCTACAAATCTCAGATTCACATATGTTGCCCCAGAACAGAGAAGAAATGAAGTGGCTTAGAGCTGACATGCAGGAAGATAGAAAAGACACAAGTCAATACAGCTCTTTGTTCACG